CTCTCAAACCGGCCTCTCGTGTAGAGTCTCTCACATTTTGGCTGCAGACTCGAGCTGTCGTCTGAGATTTTCACACATTTGAAATGCAAAAAACGAGCTCTCCCTTGATGTTTTTCTGATTTTGATCGCCAAATCAAGCTCTCGCCTGAGACTTTCCATGAAAACAAGCAAAAAAACAAAGAAATTAATTCTGCATCCAATCCACATTGCGGGCCAGAAGACAAGAAGCAAGAAGCGGCAGCTCTCATCTGCATGGAGTTGCGATCCTCCAGATTCCGGTGCCCAACCAGGAATGAGTGTCCCAAAAGATCCCGACCGGCGTGTATTTGCAGTGATTAGCCCCTGATAAGCAATATGACATATGCCAGACAAGTGACGGAGTAGTGACACTCGAAGTACGACGCTCTCTGGAATTGGCACGCAGGGACTTGGTGCAAGCATTTTGAATTCTAAATACCCCTTGAAGAGGCTGCATTATCCATAGAAACTTCCTAGAGTAGTGCCTCTTACGTACACTTCCCATTTTGGAGCTCCCCTCTTTAAATTGTCCTCATCTACTGCGAGCAAGAGCCTTGGCCTGTGGTTCAAATCCATTGCCCAGTTGACCCAACCCAGATCTGTTGCCAGCATGGCGTTATTCTAGACCAGATGCTAAGGGGGGGGGGGGAAACTCGAAGTAAAAGGATTTTGCAGCTAGATCGTGCTGGCATATGGTAGCATTCCAGCATTGCTGTTTACACCGCCGAGTCGCTCCTCCACGAGACGCCCATCTCCTCCTTTGCAGTATGTGCAGGCATTGACGTCTACGTAGGCTTGCTGGAAGCTCTGGCATCAAAGCCAAAGCTTCAAAGAGAGGACGAGGTGGGGATGCTACAGCGCACAGGTTGTGCCAGGTGACAGCACAAGTGTGAACAACAGTCAGCGTACATTAGCAGGAATGCTGCACTCTCTATAGTAGATGGACTCCCTTCCCTCCCGTACAATAGGGGCTCCAGAAAAATGAAAATTAGCCGTCCCCAGCAAGGCTCCCACGGCACTGAGGGGCCTGAGAGGCCCTGGAATATTACTTTAAACGGGATGGTCTGGATTCCGTTAAGGGCCCCAAAAGCCAAATACATTAGACAGTCTTCCCAACAATGGCCTGAAACTGAATAAGCGGCGGCCAAGGGACATTAAACAAGTTCTCTTCAGAAATTGCATTCCAACATTAGCCCGTGACAGGTTCTGGGCTTTATTGAACAGGCTCGCATCGCATACTTAAGAGTGACTACAACACCAGCGATGTGCAAGGAGAAAGAAAGCAAGCGACGGGTTCTGACAGGTGTGCTCCATGCAGAGTGATCAAGTCAACACAACATATCAGCCTTGCATCTGCAAAAGTTTTGCAACCGTTCTCTGAAATCGTGTGTTTCAGGGTCTGTCTGTTGCGATACCATTTTAAATGAACATTGCCAAAACTGCATTGCTGCCGGGCCTTCCTATGGCCAGTTTTGTACGCAGACGCAAGCGCAGTTGTGCAGGTCTTGGCAAAGCGGAGGCGAACAGTCTGAATCTGTCCTGAGTGCAATTTGAAGCTTCCAGAAATTGGACCGAAGGTCGTAGCTTGAAGGCTGAAGCTCATTCTGCATGAGGAGCACGAGCCCTCCTTTGCTTCCTCCGAAAATTTGAGAGGGTGCCAGCATGGCTCAATGGGCTGAGATATGCTGAGATCAGCATTTCGTCCGACGCTGTGCAGAGACTCTGGATTGCGAACCAAACTCCAGCCGGACCTGCGTGGCTTGGTATGCCTGTGGTGAAGCCTGAAGCATTGAATCCAAGGTTCTGCCACTTCCCTAAGTGGAGCTCAAGTAACAGTACATAAACAGTATACTCCCAGCTCGGCTTAAGGGTGCAGTGAGCCCAGCCTGGCCGCACAAAGACAATGAAAGCCTATTCCTGGACTTGAACCTGCTTTGCTACCTGTGTGCTCATCTCCCTTTCTGTACAATGTTTTCTGCTAGGATTTTCTTCAACAAAAGAGCTCAGGGCTAGCTAGTGCATGGAGTCGAGTGCAGGTGTCTGCACAATGCCGCGGCCATTTTCCTTATCAGCTACACCGCTACACCTGTCACATCATAACCACAGTTGCCTCATGTGTTTCTTCTGAAGCCAGGCCCCAGCTGTCTTGCCTCCAGCCTGTCACAGTACTAGTGCTGGGTTTTGGGCCCAGGCCCTCAATTAGAAGTCCAGCCACACACCTTCAGCTCCTGGTTCTGACATGTTCTGACATGCTGTTCTTTGCCAATGGAACCGCCAGTGGGCTTTGCTTTGCTGACGTCACCTCGGTTGGCTCTGTCACCAAGCGGCACAGTGCTTCACCAATTTACCAATGCTGCAAGCAGTATGCTTTAGTAACTCTGCCAGAATCTGCCAAGGCAAGTCACTTGGCGGTTGCTCACTGAAGCGAACGCAGCAGCTCTGAGTGGTTGAAAGATTAAGAATTCGCTTAAACGACCCTCAGCCACCTGGGCCACCGCAGCATGAAAACCCTGCTCAAGATGTGCCATGCATGTACCATCATGTACTTGAGACGATCTTTGTAGCCGAATCTTCGCATGGTGAGGTATTTGTGATCATTGTATTGTTTTGGCACCGGGACGCTTGGCTATCCAGTTTTGTGATGTGTGAAGGCTGCGGCCGCGTTAGGTTTGGTGAGCCTGAAAATACCTGAAAGCTGTGGGAAGTTAAGGAATGGGCCTGTGCAACACTGAGCCTGCTGTTCAGCACCACCTCCTGGGCACTCTGTGTGCTCGATATGCTGCTGGCCCAGGCCAGGGCAGACCAAGGTGGTTTAAGGTCCAGACTGTTCGGGCTTAGACCAAGAAACTATGGTGGAGTTATTCACAAGCTTCACAAGCAGTTGGCAGTTTTTTGGGACTTATGTTTTGAATGTTTGGCTCGGAGCTGAGGGCCATGAGGCAGCAAAAGCCAACCGGTTTGATTTAAAGTCCCTGCCACCCATCCCAACTTGCAGGATCCAGTTTCAGTGCTGGAAGAGGCGCAAAGGAGCAGCCCTACTTGACCTGCAGTAATTTCACCGCTAACGCGAGACCGCCTCGGCAGCTGCAGCAGGGATGCAAGCGGTTGGTACCCTCAGAATCCCACCCCGGCCCCCCTTTGGGCCTGCGACGGCCGACCGGGGCCCCTCGACGGATCCAACCCCCGAATCGCGGCCGCTGGCAGGAGGGGTGAGTTACTCCTGGTCTCCGGGTTCCGCATCTAGACGCCCCAGGCCTTCGGCCTCGGTGAAAAGATCAAGCGGTGCAGTCTCAATCCCGTGGGATGAATCAGGCGCTGTCTTGTCAATACAACACCACAAATGCTTCTTGAGGTGGGGTGTGCTGCCTCAGTCCCTCTTGAATCCCGGCCCTCGTCGGTCGGTATGCGAGGAGCCTGGCACGTGGAATGGCGACTCCTGCTTGGCGGGCCTTTTGGGACGCCAGTCAGCAATTATGCGCGCAATCTTCTCTTCTCCAGGCTGTTCCCAGCCTCTGCTGTAAGGCCTGCAATGCTGATACGGAGCTAAGCCATGACCTGCCGACCTGCCCATGACCCTTGCTAAGCCATGCTTTAGCCGCTGTGTCCTTGACAAGCTTCGATTAGGATTACGAGCAGCAGATCCAGGCAGCACGGCGCTTTTGCGGTGGGCTTCGTTGTGTCTTATCAGTCCTTCTCACAAACGGACTTCTCCGAGGTCTAGGATTCTTATGACTTGCATTCACAGTCCTGGAAGCAAATGCAAGGCCCAGCCCGATCAAGGTTCAGGTATGACATGTATGACAGCATGCGAGTTGATCACATCTTCCCTGGAGGCTCCTGGCCTTGGTGTGCTGGTTCCATATGGCATGGCTCTAATCCAGGAGAGTCGCAGAGCTCGAATTGCTGAAGCACGTGGGATCCATTTGCAATTGTTATGGGCTGTCTGCTTTGCTCGCAAACAACACGTTGCCTGCACTGCTGCGGAAGCAAGCTGAGCACACGAGCACACGCAAAGCAAAATGGGAAGCAAAAAGAAGCAAAGCAAACGAGGCGAAGCAAACGAAGCAAACTGCGAAAAGAGAAGCAATGTTTGCTTCTGAGCGAAGGACCTGAGCCCGGCTTCTGCCGTTGGTGGCATTGCTGCAGCTGCGGCCGCGGCAGCCTCGCTAGCTTCTGCCCGCGTCTGGGGTCCCGGCACCGTGCAGGGATCGTTGAAATAAAGCCTCCCAAACACTGGTTTCGACAAGGTCCCTGTAATGGCACTTGTAGGCTAAGATGCATTCCGCCAGGTTTGGGGCCCCCATACTGAGATCCCCAGTTTCATTTGCCAAGCACCAAACTCCGCAGTCACATACACGTGGCGTGGTACAGTATGGTCTCAGCCTTTTGGAAGCTGAAGTTGCCTAGACACCCTTATCACGAAAGCTAGCGGAAGGCTTGAGTTTAGTCTTGCTTTAGCAGTAGTGGCTGTCAAGGTCCGGAAAACAACGGATCGTGTGATACATCACAAGATGGGAGGGGGGAGGGCGGGGCTCGACTGTGATTTTTTCGCAACAAAGCATAGGTTTGGAAGGGGGGGAGGGGGGGAGGGTCGCCTGTGATTCTTTCACAGGAATCGAGGTTTGGAGGGGGGGGAGCGGGGGGTCCAATATCATTCTTTCTGCAAGAGGCTTCGAAGGAAAAACATCATGTTCGGTTGGTATTGTACAGTAACATCATGCCTGGTTGTCGCATGAAATCTTTTTTTTTGGTTAAATGTTCATTGCCCTGACATGCTCATGGTACGAATTAACAACTCTACAACAATACTTATCACTTACTTCTTTGATGCTTTCTTTCCATCTCATATCAAATGCGGCAACCAAAGCACTACATGTTCCAGTTCCTGTAACTGTCACTGTTCCTGTTGATGTTGGAGAACAGTAAACATCAGGACCAAATCATGCCATGCCTAACTTATTAGCATTATTGATTGGCATTAAAATCTGTCCGTGGCTGTATGGATTATGCATTTTGACGCTTTGACTTGCTGATACATTCGAATGTGTAATGTCTGCATGTCCTCATAAATTGGCCTGTCCGTCTGTTACTTTAATCTCTGGTGTTGATGATTGTAATCCCGTAGTAATATTTGGTTTATGTCTCCTAACGCATCGCTGTTTCTAATAAGTAACTTATACTGTGTGTTCAGCACTTCTTTACATTCACCGCTGTTCTGAAACATAAAGCGTCCCAACTAGTGACATCCGCCTTTCCAACAATATTACCAATACTACTAAACGTTTGATTAGCTCTATTAATTGTAATTCTGAGAGTGGTCGTTTAGTTGTAAGGCTATCGTTCCTGTGGTGAGGTCGGATGTTCTATCCGTCTGTATGTTTCCTCTGGTTCAATTTTAATTGTTATTAGCGTCCGCTCTTTGGTATGATCTTGCGTTCTTGTTTTATGCCTGTTCTCTCACTAATGCTAGATTCCAGTTATATCACACGTCACCTCGCTTGCCAGAGGCCTTGAAGGCTACCACTGTTAAAGCAAGACTACACTCAAGCCTAGCTCGCTTGATTTGTGCTGCTAGGGTTGCTGTTGTAGGGTCTGCTTTGTTCGATTGAAGACTGAAATTGATTTCATGAGAAGTAATGATGTGTAAGGATTTACTAGCATATGCCCGTATCTGAAAATATGCTCCTGTCGGCGTCCAGAAAGAGGTTACTGGCTTAGATATAGGTGGTTGCATTGTCCCTACTGTTCAGAAATATGACATATGGGCCTGCTCCTGTTCCTACTTTCCGCTCCTGTCATTCCTACCTTTACTTAACTTGTTGATGTGTTTTGAATTTCCAAAAGTCTTTGTGCTCAGCAGTTTAATTTGCTATTCCTGAACTCCCAGGACATCGTTTCTGGTGGTCAATCTAACTTCCCGGCTGTAGCCTGCCTGTCGCATTCACAGTTCACGACAATTGCATGGCCATAGTACGGGTGTGGCAGTCGCGTCAAACCTCCTTACCTGTTCTATCGTCTGGCATACCCCAGCAAGTTCACAATACAGATAGCATGATACTGGTGGGTGTAAAGGTTTTGCTCCCTTCAGTGTTCGCAACCCTTGCAAAGTCATGATACACATAAACCGTGCTGGTCGTTGCGTCAAACCTCCCTGGCCCCTCTGTAGTTATCACTACGCGGCAAGCATCACCTTGCCGGGTTGTTGCATTGCACCTTTCCCTCCTGTTGTGTTCGATACCTTTGCCTGGTCTTGAAGCAGGCAATTTCTTGTTTATTGAGACCGTGCCACTCCTGTAGTGCTCGCTAAACCTGCCCATGCATGAGCATGGTATGAATGGCATTAAGCTCGATGGTTGCACTGAGGCTCCCTACTCCGTCTTTGATAGTGCATGCCCTTGCACGGTCATGGTACCAAGCATGTCATACCTGGTCGTTGCATGTCGCCTTCTCCTCTTCTGGTGTTTGTTTCCTGCGTGCTCTTTGTACGAGAAGCATTTTGCTTTGCATCCAATCTTGTTTCTCTTTATGACCC